ACACACACATACATACTAACCCACACACACACACACACCCACAACACACACACACACACACACACACACACATACACATACATAACATAAGTACATACATACAGACATACAGTACATACATACATACATACATACCATACATACATACCTACATACATACAGACATACATACATACATACAGACGACCATACAGACATACATACATACATACATACATACATACATACAGCACATACATGTACCATACATACATACATACATACATACATACATACATACATACATACATACCATAACATACATACATACATACATACATACATACATACATTACATACATACATACCAGACACACATACATACCTACATCAGGACATACAGACATACATACAACATACAGAAGACATACATACATACATACATACATACATACATACAGACATACATACATACATACATACATACATACAGACATACAGACAGATCATACAGACAGACATACAAACATACATACATACAGACATACATACATACATACATACATACATTACATACATACAGACATACATACATACATTACATACATACATACATACATACATACATACATACAGACAGTACATACATACATTACATCCATACATACATACATACATACATACATACATACATACATACATACATACATACATACATACATACATACATACATACATACAAACATTACCATACATACATACATACATACATACATACATACATACATACATACATACATACATACATACATACATACATACATACATACATACATACATACATACATACATACATACATACATACATACATACATACATACATACATACATACATATGCCTGCTCTTCGGATACTTCTACACATGAAGGAGACCCTCTCGCTCGCCGGAGCGGCATTCAACCTTTTTCGGGCTGCATTCTTATCTGTCTTCACTTCTTCAATGAACTTCTGCCGTCTACTCGTCTGCTAGAGGCAGACGGTTTGCTTCTTCTTAAATGTTCTGAACAGGTCTACGGAAATTCCCGTTTTCTTAGGCCGGCTATGCTCACCATTGTTTTTGAGTAAATTAATACACAAATTAAACTACAGTTTAATTAACTTGAAACATATTTTATTAAATAAGTTATCATTTTAAAGATAAATAAGTGAGCCATTAGAAAATAGAATAATAATAATAAAATATTCAATAAAATTTGTTGCAAGTTAATTAAACTGTTGTTTAATTTGTGAATAAATTTACTTAATACCAATGGCGAGCACAGATCGGCGGTGGACCGGCTTAACAAAACGGAAATGTCCGTAGACCTGTTGGGCCTTACTGGTGGAGCCGGCCGTGCTACAGCCCTCCACTGACTCGACTTAACGCACTTTGGAACTTCACAGTTGAACAGGGTTTCTGGTATTTGAATTGGGGAATTCTCATCCTAATAATGAGGCATTGCACTTTGTGTCACATTGTAAATCATTTTATTGAAATTATTCGTTACTGAAGTATGCAGTAAAAAAACGTATAAACAGATATAAATATTATTGACATTATAATAATGGTGACAATAAATGACAAAATGTGTGATCATATAAATGTATTTTAAATATAGAATAAATAAGAAATTCCCCCTAAAAATTAGCTGAAAGGCGATTTTTTTTTTTGGGGGGGGGGGGGGGGGGGAATTAGGGGGAAGAGGAGCGAAAATTGATATAATACCTGGTCTGGTGATCGGGGAAACAAAGTAAAATCGGCGACCTACGTCTTTGTACTCTTCCAGTAGAGTGGTCTCCAATCTGGGGAGGCGTTTTCCCTGGGGAAAGGGGCTGCTATCTAGTGAATTATAGATGGGAAGAAGATGTCGAGGTCGAACTCTACTATTATATAAAGATGTGTGCAAGCAGGACATGAATGATACAGGAACTGAGGTACAGTCATGGAACAAAATGCCACAAACGGTGCTTCTTGTACTGTAGAATACAGGAAGGAATTATAATGGGGAAAAAAAGGGGGGGGGGTGGGCTATTACAGAAAGATTGAGAGCCCAGCTTCTGAGAAATCACATACACTAAAGACACGTCATAGCAAAACGGTAGTGAAATATCGTGCTCTAACTGTGGAAGATGTTTCTTAACGTGAACAAGTCCTGCTAGTAACCCTCGCCATCAACACAAACTGCCGTGCCTTCCGATTGCAAAACATAAAACTGTGGTCTGGAAAGACGGAGGATACCAGCAAGTGATGTCGGTTCTTAACTGTACACAGTATGGAGGATTCACACGTCAACGTCAGCATCATCAAGGTAATCTAGCAACGTATAGCTGCCACTTTCCTCGGTACCCTGTCTGTCCTCGAACTGATCTTGGCTAGCTGTTTCCACCGGATCTTTCTTGGTGCTAGTAACTGCAGGCGAGGAGGCACCCTGTGCGACATCTGTCGAGATTTGACTTTTGCTAGACAGTAGATTAACTGCTTTACTTGGTGGAAAATCAGAAGAATCACTTGAACTGTTAGAGTATTGCGTTTGAAAAATGACTTTTTGTGAATAGTTATTATCAGCTGTTGGGGATGTAGGATCGTCTGCATTGTCCCCTTGGTGAAGACGAAGAAAAGGTTGATTTATCCCCAAAGGGGAACTGTCTATAACGTCTTCGATGTTATCATTGTCTTGATTTGTATTTGGTGTTTCGACGCTGGTGGGAAAATACATGTCTAAGTCTTCTTCCTCTTCATCGTCTGAAGGAATACCGCGGGAAGATTCCGAACTTCCAGCCACTGATTCGGTAGAAGAACCAGAGTTTTTCATCTCCGGGGACATCAGTTTAAACTTCTGTCTGCTTTCACTTAGAGACTGCTTGCTGGCTTCAATTGAATTATCTTCATTCATATCATTTTCTAGGTATCGGTGGTCGTTTTCGTCTGCAGGACTGAGGGTCTTTGTTGTGCATCCAGAGAACCCATTCTCTTCGGCATCAGTTTCATCACTGTTGGTGTTTTTTGTAGGAGGTATGTCCAAGTCAGAAATATAGGCGACGTTGGAATAACCTAATTTGGTACCTTCCTGGTCAGCCTCACTTGATGAGCTTTCTGAAGTTAAGGATGTTTTCCTCTTTAGTACACCCTCATGGTTATGTCCAATGTTTGTACTGCTGAAGGCACCAGGGATCGCCGAATCCATGTCGTCTTGGTAACTATTATCTTCTGGCGCAGCACCCGAAAGCAACACTGAGGTCATGTCTGTACTTTTCGCATTGTCCGGTATCTTAGAACTAGTTGTTTCCTTGCTCTCATTGATTTCTTCGTCATCTCTGCTATCTGAAAGTAACCGGTAAGACGTAGAACTATTGTAATGACCTGTATTGTCGCTGGAAGATTTGTTCTCGTCTTCATGTGATGTGTCGACATCACGTAGACTTGTGTTGGATTCCTGCTGGGAGATCTCCTCAAAGTTTGTCTGTTTGACAGTAGGTCTTTCGTTTGGGTTAACATCAACCCCTGTTGCAGGCTTTGATTCAAGTTTGCTTTGTGTCCAGCTGGCGCTGTAATCAGCAATAATACCATCGTCGTGCGCCGTGTCATCATCAGCGGACAGTGCAGAAGAGGCCACAGATATGTCCCTGTCTCTGAAATCAGCTCCGACAACAAAGGCGATGACTGGACTGACTTGCTCAGAAACTGATGACGTCATTTTCTGTGCTGCCAGAAACCGCAGTCTGGTAGCTTCGACAATTTCGTCGTACAATGACATTTTCCGAGTCGAGCTGGGCTGGTCGACACTGAAGCTTCTTGACCGACCATCCAGCTCAGCCGGGTCCAAAGTCAGTGACCTCGATCTTTCCTTAATCTGGTTTAAAACTGTTTGCTGGAAAAGTTGCACGCCTGATTTAACATTTTTGGGGATTTCATTATCGCTGTTAGTGTGTTTCAGTGGTTCCTTTCCAGCGGTTCCTAGAAGAACAATGTTTCGAGGAAGGGAACTGCCTACACTCTTAGAAATATCTACTTTAGTTTCAGATGTAATTTGTATGGTAGCAGGCTGCCTGTTGGATTCGTTATTCGATTGAGGAAACGGTGCTTTGTTTCCTGGTGGTTCTGGGGCCTTTTTTTTCCGCCTTGGCATTATCACTGGCGTAGTTTCATGATCAGCGACAGCCTTGGACTGCTTCATATCTTTTGATGTGTTTGTTTCGTTTCTGTTTGCATCTAGTTTTGGTTCTACGGCAGTCGAAGAGTTAGCAATAAACGAAGACTCAGCTGTCATGTCTGCATCTTCTTCAGCTTTGTTTTTGGATTCGTCTGAAGCATTCTTGAATAGCCAACTTTTATTCTTCAGAAACTTGCGTTCCTGTTCATCTTCGTCGTCATTGTCGTCTTTCACGAATCCCATGTTATCATACATTATTTTCTTATTGACAGGGTTAAATTCTTGAGATGGAATCGAAGTGGATGTTCTGTTGTTAGAGAAAATAAAGTCTGCATCTTCTCTGACGAGCGATGGCGTATGCCCTCGGCGATGATAGTTGGGGTTACTGAACTTGCCAAACTCTCGGCCAATGATCATTCTGACTGGGTACTTCTTTCTGTAGCATATGTACACTCCCACAAGAACAGCAATGAGCAGTGCAAGAGGGATAACCACTCCTACTGCAATCTTCCAGTCATCATTTGATGCTCCAATGTTTCCGGCAGCTGTCTCATTCTGAGGATTTGCGGAAGTAGCTTCAGATGACCTGTCTATTGGTTGTTGAGTAATGTTATGTACACTTGTAGACTGTTCAGATAATGATGATGTGTTAGTAGGCCCAGCAGATTGATCATGATCTGAAGAAGCCGTAGTTGGCTCTATATATTGTTCAGTGTATGAAGATTCAGTAACTGGCTGTCTAGAGTGTTCAGTATACAATGATGCAGGAGCTGCCTCTGTAGACTGTTCACTAAAAGATGATGCGGCAATTAACTCTGTAGATTGTTCTATTATTACTGGTAAAGTTGTCTTTTCTGTCGGTGTGTATGTCGCTGTTGCAAGCGTGTACTTCTGTGAGGCTGTTGGGGTCAGTGAACTTGTGACAATGCTTTCATCTCCTCGCAGTTGAGAAGAAGTCCCCGACAGTGTGCCAGTTGAATATTCCGTTAATGTGCCACCCTGCCACTCAGTGAAATGTTCAGAGGAGTCTAGTTCAATGGTATTTGTAGGCTGATATGTAACAATCTCTGTGTATTTGTCAGTAGATTGCTTTGCTGGAATGTCAGAGGGGTAATCTAATGAGGTTTCGTGCACATTTTCAGTAGGCTGACCTTTAGAAATGTCAGTTGTCAGTGTATTCGTGTGCGGATCTGTGGGGTTCAAAGTGGATCCTTCTATAGAAATAACCATAGATAGTTCAGTGGGACCCGCTGTGAATCCTTCTGTAGGCCCAGATATGATTCTTCTTGTTGAACCTATTATAAATGAGTTAGCCGTAGACTCTTGTGTAGAAACAACGATGGTCTCCCTTGCAGACCATTTGCCCGTTAGAGGTTCCGCGAGAGGCGTTGTCCATGCTGTATGTGTTGAGGCTGTGGTACCGAAGACTTGATTTGTGACTGTTCCAGTAGAACCACCAGAACCGATTTCAATGGACTGCTGGGTGGTCAGCCGTGTGTCTTGCTGGGGGTGGTCCTTTTTAGAATTTCCTATTAGTAGATCCGGTGTTGAAATTGTAGTCTCCATCTGTGAATGAACAAGACTAAAGATGTTGGTTCAGCTTTATCATTGCATCCTAGATGTAATACGCGGAGTAAGTGCTTAGTCACTAAACATTGCTGTAAATGAAGAATGTTGACACCATCCGCCTCCTCTTCCTCCTTCATTCCCTTCTTTTCCTTCTTATCTGCCTCTTTCTCCTCCTTTTCTAGCGCCTTCTCCTTCGCCTAATTCTTCGTCTTTTTCTTCTTCTTCTTCTTCTCTTTTTTTTTTTAGTGTAGTTGTACAGTATACACATATACCCTGGGTTGAAAGGGAGTGTTTGCTTAATCCTTGACGTCTCCTCTTATTCTGTGGAGCGTAGCACCACCTTATTTCGTGTTTTGCTGATCTTCTTTTAACATACAATATACAGAAGTCATCTTGTTTTGTCCATAATTATCCTAATAACAAACATTAACATGCACAATCAGGCGAGCGCACGCGCTCACACACACACACACACACTCTCTCTCTTACACACACATGCATGCATACAACACTTCTGACTTGACAGGAGCTATGTTGGAACCCAGGCAAAAACTAAGTAACAAATAGAGAACAAAAAACAAAAACAAAGGATGTCGCATTTTCCTTCTTCTTCTTCTTCTTCTTCTTCTTCTTCTTCTTCTTCTTCTTCTTCTTCTTCTTCTTCTTCTTCTTCTTCTTCTTCTTCTTCTTCTTCTTCTTCTTCTTCTTCTTCTTCTTCTTCTTCTTCTTCTTCTTCTTCTTCTTCTTCTTCTTCTTCTTCTTCTTCTTCTTCTTCTTCTTCTTCTTCTTCTTCTTCTTCTTCTTCTTCTTCTTCTTCTGCTGCTGCTGCTGTTGCTTCTTCTTCTTCTTCTTCTTCTTCTTCTTCTTCTTCTTCTTCTTCTTCTTCTTCTTCTTCTTCTTTGCTTCTTCTTCTTCTTCTTTTTCTTCTTCTTCTTCTTCTTTTTCTTTCTTCTTCTTCTTCTTCTTCTTCTTCTTCTTCTTCTTCTTCTTCTTCTTCTTCTTCTTCTTCTTCTTCTTCTTCTTCTTCTTCTTCTTCTTCTTCTTCTTCTTCTTCTTCTTCTTCTTCTTCTTCTTCTTCTTCTTCTTCTTCTTCTTCTTCTTCTTCTTCTTCTTCTTCTTCTTCTTCTTCTTCTCTTCCTACTGTTGCCTCATCGAAATGTTGAAGGGATGTATAAGGATCTTCACTGTGCTCGTTCCAATGCGTTTTATCAGCTGGTCTTCACTTCTTTGAAGAAGTTCTTCATGCAGTCTTTCCATCTCCTATGTGGTTTTTCTGCTTGCTCTGTGTCTATTGTATTTCTTGAGCATGGTTCTCTGTGTCAGTTGTTACCAGCGCATTATCATCATATGGTCAAATCATCTCATCTGTTGTATTTTTTAAGTATTTTGTTAATAAACAGGCACAATGTTTGATTACACTAACAGGGAAGATAAAGATGGGGGACAAGAAGAAGGACAACCCCATCAATAAGTGGGAAACTTATCAGCGGCAGAAGAAGATGATGAAGAAGAAGGAAGAAGAAGAAGAAGAAGAAGGGAGGGAGAGGAGTAGGAGGGAGGATGAGTAACAGGAACATAAATGAAGAGAGGGAAAAAGGAGAAAGAGAAGGAAGAAATTCAACTTACATCTGAAACCAATAGCGTCGATGTCCCGACTTCTGCAATGTTCTTATTCTGACAACTTGCATGTAGAACCATAAACAGAAATAAAATAACGCTGGCTGATTTCTTTCCCATAGTTGCAGTTGGTTTGTATATCATTCGTTGCTACACAGAATCGTCGCCTGAGCTACGGCATTGAACCTTACAATCTGTTCAGTCAGGGAAGGTATAGGACGGGGTAGAAGAGAATGAAAGGGGTGGGATACGATGTTTCAGTCCGCAGAGAAAACAACAAGAGTATTTTTAATCAGTCTGCAACAAGCTCCATTGATACATAAATTTTCTTTGGTCGCTAAGGAGAGGGAACAAAGCGGGAATACCCCAGTGTCAACTCTTGACTGGTTCATTCAGTGGCTGTAACTAGACATTTTTCAGCAAGTTGATCAGAGGAAACCTTCAAGTGAAGTAGGAGAACTCTTCTTTAGCAGTATAATATCTCCACTGAGAAATCCAGCTGTATCTGTGATATTTTCGTGTATCATATCAATAACAATTTCACACAGCGATTGCGTGACCGACCTCCTTTTAATATCAGAATCTGTACTCTCCAAGCACTGCATGTATCATTTTCACAAAACTGTTGGAAAAAAAAAATTATATAATTAAGCGATTAGAACTAAACAGTTTTAGATCCCTGTTTCCATCCCCGGCCCGCTACTTAATTTTTTCCTACCCCTGCCAACGTCACAACCTCAGTGGGCGAAATTCGGACACCACGTTCAACCTCCAAGGAAATTGTAAATATAATTAGTGTACCGGTGAAGACTTCACTTAGCTTTCTAGCCTGCATTTCTGTGGTGTTATGCGATTATGATGAGCATTTTCCAACGTCAAAAACTGAACTTTAACAGTCTGAACAATTTAAAACAATTCAGTGCAGTTGATAAATGTAATGCGACACATGGAAACAAAAAAAGGAACGAAAGAAACAAAGAGAGAGAGAGAGAGAGAGAGAGAGAGAGAGAGAGAGAGAGAGAGAGAGAGAAAGAGAAGAGAGAGAAAGAAAGAGAGAAAGAGAAAGAAAGAAAGAAAGAAAGAAGAAAGAAAGAAAAGAAAGAAAGAAAGAAAGAAAGAAAGAAAGAAAAGAAAGAAAAGAAAGAAAGAAGAAAGAAAGAAAGAAAGAAAGAAAGCAAGAAAGAAAGAAAGAAAGAAAGAAAGAAAGAAAGAAAGAAAGAAAGAAAGCAAGAAAGAAAGAAAGAAAAAGAAAGAAAGAAAGAAAGAAAGAAAGAAAGAAAGAAAGAAAAAGAAAGAAAGAAAGAAAGAAAGAAAGAAAGAAAGAAAGAAAGAAAGAAAGAAAGAAAGCAAGAAAGCAAGAAAGAAAGAAAAGAAAGAAAGAAAGAAGAAAGAAAGAAAGAAAGCAAGAAAGAAGAAAGCAAGAAAGCAAGAAAGCAAGAAAGCAAGAAAGAAAGAAAGAAAGAAGAAAGAAAGAAAGAAAAAAAAGAAAGAAAGAAAGAAAGAAAGAAGAAAGAAAAAGAAAGAAAGAAAGAAAGAAAGCAAGAAAGAAAGTAAGAAAGAAAGAAAGAAAGAAAGAAAGAAAGAAAGAAAGAAAGAAAGGAAGAAAGAAAGAAAGAAAGAAAGAAAGAAGCATAAATACATAGCAAGAAAACCGTATATAAGAAATGCAAAGAAGCAGTTCCCAGTCCCAGAGTGTTTGCCCCCATCAGTCGAGGGAGAGCCGCTGCTGTGTAGCGGCTAGGCGCTTAACTGTGAATAAGAAGGTTCTGGTTTTGAATCCTGACGGATCTGGCTTTTTTCAAATAACCATGGCTTTCAGGTTGACCCCGCCCTAAATGGGTACCAGGTAAAGTTCGGGGTGGTAAAGGCGGCCGGTGTGATGATGGTTTATAAAATATAGGTTTAGTCCTGTATGCCCAATGCCCAAGAAGGCGTGAAAAGCTGTCCTTTACTTACATCAGTCGATGTGGCCAGTATCACAGTGGCCGTCTTCGCCTCCCATAACATTTCCTGGTATATATATATATATATCTGTGTTGAGCTGGGAGTACAAAACAACTTTAGATGCGCATTAAAAGTGGATTCGAACCCATAACCCCTAGAATTACAGGCAAGCACACTACTAGGCACTGTATTGCTGCCATGAATAATTAATGGATTTGAAAAATAATTTAATGTTTAGTGATATAGATAAGACCAGTATAAGTAATAAACATAGGCAGGCAGATAGGCAGACAGAGACAGAAAAGGTAAACAGACAGGTAGGCATGGAGACTGGCAGGCAGACAGGTAGGCATGCAGATAGATAGGCAGATAGACAAGCAAGCAAAAAGGCAGACAGGCAGGCAGACAAATAGATAGACATGTGCCTACTTGAGTGCATACTTACGTAGATGTGCTTGCGAGTGTTCGTGAACCCATACGTAAATAAGTGTATATGTACATCTACAAAGACAGACAGTCAGACAGGTTCTGTAAACGCATTCATATACTTACGTAAAAACTAACACACCAAAATAAAAGATCAATAAGCAGGTCACAATTTTGGATTGAAAACAAACGGTCTCTAAACGGCGAAAGACCAGGAGGCGTGTCCGTAGAGTGTCTGCGTGTTATCTCATTGTTATCGAACGATAGGTACTTTTGTGATATCATGAGGTGTGCGAGAGTCTATCTGCGGCAGAAGTACATGCAAGTATTTGTGTGTGTGTGTGTGTGTGTGTGTGTGTATGTGTGTGTGTGCCTGTCGGGATGCAGTACCGGCACCTTCTCTGGGCATCATTTTTGTTCCAGTGCTACAGTAATTATCCCTTTTTAAAGAGTACTTGCGCCAATTAAAAACAATTTTAAAAAAACATGTGTGGATGCCGGGGAGGGGGGGGGGGGGACTCAATGTACCTAACTCCATGTTCTGGCGCTTATGTTGGTTAGTTGCGTATCCTTTACAGGACGTTGCAGAACCTACCCCAGCATTTTTTTTTTTAATTTTTTTGCTATCATGGTTTTTCTGGTCAAATTTTACGTTCAGTAGTTTGCCATTGTTTACATCACGGTCGGCTCTCGGTATCACTGTCGAAACCAGTGCAGGGCGAAAAACTGCTTGCAGGTGGGATCGAACCCGGCACCACGGCATTACGAAGCGGGTTCGCAACGCCCAAGCCACTGCGGTTAAGAATAGGAGTTTTCCAGCGCTCTGGCTAAAGTGGTTAGATCAGTTGCGCGGCGACCGGTGACAAACTCCTTGTAGTCCGAGTTCACGCTCAGAGGTAGGCAGAAAAGCCACATATTTCCCATATTTATGGTATCTATCATGGAATCAAGGGCGAAGGGTTGCGGTATCCATAGTACCGAGCCAAAGGGTTAACAAATTATGGTTTCTGTATTTATATATATATATATGTGTGTGTGTATATATGTATATATATATATATGTATATATATATATATATATATATATATATATTTATATATATATATATAGGAATGATATTTTTTTAGACACGTTGGCCTGTTGGGAATCTGTTTCTAGGATGACCACGGAGAACTGTGCGTTAGCGCAGTCGATAAAAGGCTCGCTTTAAAATCCAGCTGTGACTCGCTGCAGCCCACGGTTGGTGTTTCGAAACCGGGCGGTTCCCGGGGTTTACCCAGCCTCTAGGAAATGGGTATCAGAGTTGACACTCTGGGGTAAATGGAGGAACGTCGCTGTAGCTACAGAGTTACGTGCGGACGACGACACAGGTGGACAATTCTTATCATCTGTCCGTACTGATGGCAGAGCACTTATGGTTTATAACCGTGTGCAATGACGCTGGTTCACATCTCCCGACTTTACCTTTAGACAAGCCTAGAATGATCCCTGGTCCTGGTGGACCAACCTGATTCAGTAGCTCTACATTCCGTCCTTTGCAGAACATCGCTCTCATCACGGTCTGCCTGAAAGAAACTCCGACTCTCGATAAGTCTCCGGCTTCGTGCACTTTCATATCTAAGGAGTCACTTATATCCTGTACCCTTCTTCGTGTTTTGTCGACCCCTGCCCATCTTACTAGTACCATGCATTCTTTTTTTTTTTTTTTCGAATCCGCCGTGGAGCTTGATATGGCCAAACTATGTCAACTCCCAGGATAAGATTTAGTTTATTAGATACTCGTCTTTGATGTTCAAATCTTTTTCACTAATAATATTTCGTCTCTTCTTTGTCTATGGTAGCCTAAGAATCTTTCTGTAGCATTTAAACTCAAAAGCCCGTATTTTCTTCCTCAAGTATTGAACATCCCGTTTTGCACGGGTGGAAAACTCTCCGCCGATGACTTACTGGTGACGATAACACATAACGTAGTGACTGTGTAAGATAACAAGCATTTATCGGTCACACCTCTTCACATATCACATGATTAGGTGTTATTAACGATAGTTTTAATTGATGTACCAGTAAGTGGTTTCATAGAACCTCAAAGAATCAAATGGTTTTGTTAACCAGCTACATACACATGTGAGTGTAATCGACTCATAAAACATGTTAAGGAAGGTAGGAACAAGCATGCTACGTCTCTGGCTAGCATAGCTTCAGAGGTCGACACGTAGTTAGCGTTCTTTGGATATTTTCTTTGATGAAGAAGTGTTGGGAAATAAACAGGCAGACAGATTGCCTGGTTCTACACTTGTGGATAGGGAATGAATGCATGACAAGCAAGGCGAGATCAAGGCCTTCTGGGATCAAGTGAATAATGCCGAGACACGAAGGGATCATTCTGGACTGGATAGAAGAGGATCAAGTGAATAATGCCGAGACACGAAGGGATCATTCTGGACTGGATAGAATGGGACAGTCAGGTTTGACCAGGGGATCTTGTCGATACACGGCGCACAGAGGAAAGGCAAGATGCACACATTGAATTTAACCACTACCGGTTTCGTCAAAATTGAAACTATTGCTGGCTGCTGGTTGCACGGAGCCCTGATTGGAATATCCAAAGTGCTGCATTGTCAGTTCTCAACATATCCTTTACTTCAGTGTTTCCCAAGCATTTCTTAGTCGTGCGCGCTTTTTTTAAATTAAAATTGTTCCACGGCGCTCTAACCTAAGTAAAAGTATAACTATTAATATGCAAAAGAAAAAGAAAAAAAAAAAACTCGTGTAT